TTCCTAAAGTACCTCTTTTCAAAAGACTCTTTTGACATAATGGAACAATAATATATTCGACGACGCGTATCTTTTACTGTGTACTTTCTTTAGAATGTTATAAATATATGTAGGAGATTCTCCTGATGAAAATAAGTTCAAACATGGCATAAATCAGAGTCTCTTTAAGAAGATACAATTTGTATCGCGACATAACGTATGAATAAAAATTGTTTTGCTGCATCTCCTTCTTCTTTTATGTATACAGATTTAACATTATTCAAAACAGTATTAATGAATAATTCCAAATACTTTATTTAACTGTGGTTAAAATACAAAATTGCAATTACACAATTACATAAATAAATAATTACGTATACAATCAAATCTAAGATGCTTGTAATCACATTTCACAAGCTATCATCAGCAGCAAAGTAAATTTTGTTTCAAGGAATAATTGGAACATCCAATTCTATGTCAGCATAGTAAAACAATGCACGAATGGAACCAAGTTCAATACTTAAAAGTAGTTTTTCATTATCGAATGCTTGCAAGTTAGAATACTGCCACAATACTAACAATCTTTGCAAATGATGAGATATAAATAAAATAAACAATTATTTTTATTTCAACGAAAAAGCAAAATTGTGACCAATTATCCCACCTTTCCCTTAATGTCGCGATACGAAATGTATGTTATTAAATATAGTCTGATTTATGTCGGGTTTGGACTTTTTTTCATCAGGAGAGTCTCCTACATTTATTCATAACATTTTTAAGAAATTACACTGAAAGGAGTAAAAATTTAAATTTTTATTCATGGGTGATTCGTTCTGTGTATTACATTGTAATCCGAACGATACCATCGCCTCACGCCGAGGCCCCGTGACGTCATCTGACTTGGTCGGTTTAAATCCCACTTGGTGTCCCATCCATTCTTTGTTGTTAGGTAGTTTGTTTCTGACTGACTCCCTTCTACTCAAAAGTGAGGAAGCGAAATTACAGAATAATTCAACAAAAAAAAGATAAGTTCATAGCAATCTTAATATTTTATCTTATGTTATTAAAATTACTATTTCAATTGTGTTTTTTTCTTTTCATATGAAGAAAAGCAAAAGACCATTCGGCATCGTATATACGTGGACCAGCTGCAGCGGTTCTCGTTAGCGGCGAAATGTATCATTAACAAAAAAAAAATGAATTTTAAAAATGCTTCCCGAATTAATATTTTTTAACTTTTCATTCAAACTTA